TCTGGGTCCAGTGGGGGTGCTTTCTTCAGATGTGAAGCGTGTACCCAGGAGGAGATGCCATCCACTTTCACAGCTGTGGGAGTAGTCAAGAGGACGATGAAGGGGCCTTTCCACCAAAGCTCAAGGTTTCCCGTTCGGTGTCGTCTCACATAGACAGAGTCTCCCACCCGGAACTGATGAGGTACTGAGAAGTCCTCTGGCCGATAGGCTTCCCTGATGGAGGCCCACACTTCTTTCTGCACGACTTCCAAGGCCCGTAACCTTTCAAGCAGAAACTTATTAGTTGCACATTCGGGGAATGTATGAAGATGAGCCGATTGGAGCGGAGCTGGGGCCCCAAACATTATCTCAAAGGGCGTTAGTCCAAAGCGGCCGGGGGTATTCCTGACCCTAAATAAGGCGAAGGGAAGGAGGACTAACCAATCACATAAACCAGTCTCTATGGATAATTTAGTCAAGGTCTCTTTTAAAGTTCTGTTCATCCTTTCTACCTGTCCTGAGCTCTGGGGCCTATATGCACAATGCAATTTCCAATCGGTCCCCAGGATCTTGGCCAATCCCTGACTCACCTGGGCAACGAAGGCAGGACCATTATCGGAGCCGATTACCTTTGGGATTCCGAACCTTGGAAATATCTCTTCAAGTATCTTCTTGGACACTGTCTGAGCTGTCTCGGTCTTGGTAGGGAAAGCTTCTGTCCATCCTGAAAAGGTATCTAAAAAGACTAGGAGGTACTTATGTCCATACTTAGCAGGCTTAATTTCAGTGAAGTCAACTTCCCAGTAAGCTCCTGGTCGATCCCCGCGGAGCCTTTTTCCGTATATTACTTGATGTTTGTTCACATTTACCAATTAGCAAGGAACGCAATTTCTCACCACCTTGTCTGCCATTTCTCCCAAGCCAATGATGTGATAAGGGGAGTTTCAAACCAGGGCTTTTAGGTTCTTGGCTCCCAAATGTGTCAACTGATGTAGTTGCCTTAAGTATTTTCCTGCCTCTTTCTGGGGCAGAATATTTTTCCCACTTCCTGACTCGTATGTTCCAAGGGGTGAGGATTTTTGGAACCCCAGCTTGTCCATCCGAGCGAGATCCTCGGGTGTATACTGGAAGCTTTTAACACATGTGTCTTCCAGGTATGCCCGGAGGGGTAAGATGTTCATTCCCTGGGCTGCCTGTTTGGCAGCTTGGTCTGCTCTCCGGTTCCCTTGAGCTATTAGAGATTCATCTTTCTGATGTCCAGGGCAATGTATTATCGCTACCTCCCTGGGTCTATGGATGGCTTCTAACAAATCTAAAATTTCCAGTTTGTTTTTAATATCTTTCCCAGCAGAAGTCAATAGCCCTCTCTGTCTATAGATAGCCCCATGTATGTGAGCAGTGGCAAAAAGCGTATCGGCTGTCAGTGTAGACGTTAAGTCTCTTACCTTCAGCCATCATTAGAGCCTGGGTCAGGGCAACAAGTTCTGCTCGCTGTGCGGAAGTGCCCGTTGGAAGTCCGCTGGCCCACATGATCCCGCCATCCTCTTACCTCCCATGATGTAACTGCTCCCGTCTGTGTACCAAGTCAGGAGTCCTGGTCCCGGCGGGTCCCTGTCTCTTCAGCCAGGATCTCCTGGCAGGTGTGAAGCACTTCTTTCCCCGAGTTAGGGAGCAGGGTAGCCGGGTTTAGGATGGCGGGTGGGGCGAATTCCACACAATTGTGATTCAGGAGCAAGGTTTGGTAGTGAGTCATTCTGGCGTTCGACATCCATCTTTCAGGTGGTTGCCGAATTACACTCTCCAGTGCATGGGGAGCAACCACAGTGAGTTTTTGTCCCAGCATAAGTTTGTCAGAATCTTTAACTAAGAGGGCCACGG